GCCATCTTTATTTATGCAATATTTAGATTATAGTTTTAATATTATAAATTATATTATAAATTATAGAATTTTTTATATTCCTGCACATCTCGCAGACAGTTGTTTGCATTTTGCATGCATATTAAGAGAAGTCAACACTCTACTTTTGAAAATCCAGGATATAGGCAGAACCAGCTTTGGGCTTTGCTAGCCACGTATTAAAAATTCATGTCAAATTTGAAATATTTTTCTCTCCTCTTGGTAAAAAACAGGCAAAGTATTTGCATAGGTATAATGAGCAATTAGCCTTCAACAAAATTCCTGTAATCCATACACCTTGGTAGAAGCGTCTGGCATCAGAGAAGGACGTTGGTTTAACACTGAAAATATTTTACACATTTAAAAATCTTTTTTCCTAGAAATCTAATTATAATCAGTCCCCAGGGTACGTGGGCTAAGTAAGTCATGTATTGAAAAAAAAGAGGCATAATAACGCCTTTTTAAAAGGCGTAATAACGCCATTTTAAAAGGCGTAATAACGCCTTTTAGAAAGGCGTAATAACGCCTTTTAGAAAGGCGTAATAACGCCTTTTAGAAAGGCGTAATAACGCCTTTTGGAAAGGCGTAATAACGCCTTTTGGAAAGGCGTAATTACGCCTTTATTTGCGTTATTACGCCTTTTTCTGCGTTATAACGTCTTTTCAAAAGGCGTTATTACGCCTTTTTTCGCGTTATAACGCCTTTTCAAAAGGCGTAATAACGCCTTTTAAATTTTTTTTTACCGTAGTTTGATCCTAATAGGCTTTCGTACATGGAGGATAAAACTCTCATAACGGTACGGTAAGATTATTTGAGGTTCACATGTTGGTATCTTTTTACATCCTATGGAAGCCCGTTTAGGACCTATCCTTTTTTTGTTTTCGATATAACGAAATTCCAAATTTGTTAAACGATCGAAGTTAATTCTTTATATCAATTTTTGGAATTTACTGTAACGAATTTAATCTGTTTTAAACAATTTTAAATAATGAATTAAGTTCGTTTATACGAATTTAAAGAAATTAACGAATTTTACAACTTTATCTTATCAGATTGAATTTGGTAAAATGATTTTTTTTCAAAGAAAATGACAAGTTTAATTTGTTTTAACAACTTTGGAATTAGTTGTAAATTTTTGATAGGTCCTAAAGGGCTTCCGTAACATAGGGATCTGGTAACGTGAAATATGAAAATAATGTACAGTTGTCATGCTCATAAGGCCACTGAAACGTACAAATTTGGAGCAGAACAGACACAGACCTCTGAAACATCCGGGCGGGAACAGATGCCATGTTGGAGTAAGCATCCCTAGTCGAGCGCTCACATTCGCGTTTGCCCTTTGTCATGGTCGAGTCAAAGGAGAAATCGAGAAATTCGTAGTCAAATAATAGCCTAACAAGTAGTATATAAAAGTTTACATTTGAAGTCTGGGAAAAAAAGGTCATTAATGTTTATAAATGAAATTGTAAATTGATTTTTCTGCCTACTATTTTGAACAATTATTGCTTCTCTGTCCAACTGAACTTTTCGGAGAGGTGGGAATGTTATGAAAATTATTGATAAATTATATGAAAATTTATGTCCTAGAACTGTGGAAATTCTTTTTTGTATAGAAAACTAAATATAGCACACAATGGTGTGAATTTTATTAATGCACCTTAAAATGTCACAGACTTTCGTTCAAACAGTGACCATCACTACATAAAATATAAAGAAAACTATAACTGCACTACATCACTACATAAAATACATAGGCAACTATAACTGCAATTAAATTGCCCTTTTTATTTGAAGGTTTTTCAACAGTTCAACAGAAGATATATAAATTTGAAAGTAGTAGAATAGTAATAACAGAATGTTGTATTTTGATCATTTACAGTGAAAATTAATTAGTACATAGGTGAGGGTGTGTACATTCTCTACAGCGTAATAAAAATGTAGGTAACTACAAGTATACCTTCTTTTTAGAAGATTTCAACCTTGAGAATCAGTATGTAGGGTACTGTATGAACAAAGATTTGTTAGCCCCCCACCCCCCACCCCCAAGAAAAAATAATACAATGTTTAATGAACTATTTTGTTGCATGAGGTATAGATTTCATTCTCTTTTTTTAACTTTGTCTCAAATATACGAGAAAATCAAAGCTTTGTAACATAAGTCTTTTATTCTTGTATTGAACATTATTACAATAGCCAAGGAAAATTCATCACATATCAAAGTAGGTTTTTTTTAACTAATACGGAGGCTGATTTCTTTACATATTCCATAATGCCATAGGTTAGCACCAGTTGTTAGTATAATGATCCTTCACCCAGATATAACGAATAGTTTAGTACAAAGTTTTTCATTGATGTGCAGCTTTGCAAAAAGAAAAAAAGGAGAGATACAGGTCTACATCACTACAGTACAGGGGTCGTAACCCTCCCACCTTGTGTGTTCCCTTCTTTATGCTCTTACAGTTAAAAGTCATTCAGTTTGTAGGGTACTGTATGAACAAAGATTTGTTAGCCCCCACCCCTCCCCCGAAAAAGATTATATAACGAACTATTTTGTTGCATGGGGTATAAATTTCATACTTTTTCTAGAACTAAATTTCCAATTTTCGAAAAAAATTAAAGTTTCGTAACACTAAAGTGTTTTATTCTTGTATTAAACATGTACGTTATTACAATAGCCGAGAAAAAAATTCATCAATTTTTTTTTTTTTTTTTTTTTTTGGCTAATATGGAAGTCGATTTCTTTGAATATTCCATTATGCTAATGATTACCATCAATAGTTGTTATAAAGAACCTTCACCCAGATATAACGATTAGGGTAGTACCGTGTTTATCATTGATGTGAAGCTTTGCAGAGAAAAGGAAACATACAGGTCTACATCACCACAGTAGAGGGACGGTAACACTCCCACCTTGTGTGTTCCGTTCTTTATTTTTATGAGATCTATTACTGTTCGTTATCTTCACCCTTTATGCTCTTAGAGTTAAAAGTCATTCGGGTCCAATATTAGCTTAACACTGTTTTTATATGCCTGAGAGTTCAGTTATGTAAAACCGCTCACGGCAGTCTAGTGGAAGGGCACTCGCTTCGTGATCGGGAGGCCCGGGTTTGATTCTCGTTCGCCGCGTCAAAACCTAAGACGTAAGGAAAGCTAGTGACTGTTCCTTCGCCAAGCGTCCAGCGTTAGACATGAAAGGCAAGGGTCTTTCGGATGAGACCTTAAAAACTGAGGTCCCGCGTCACGGTAGGCGTTTGCACGATAAAGAACCCTCACTGCTCAATGGCCCTGAGTGCCGAGTATAGGTCTAAATTTGAAGCCCTTCACCGGCATACGGTGACTTCTCTATATGAGTGAAAAATTCTCGAATGGGACGTTAAACAACATACAATCAATCAATCGGTTATGTAAAAAATTTTTTTTGGACTTTTAGAAAATTTATCAAAAAAATGTACAAATTGAATTTTTCTAGTTCATTTTCAACATAAGTTTCTCCCGGAAAAATGATCAAAGACAAAGTGTAAGTGAACAGAAATCATTATGTTTACTTAAATTGGGAAAATACATACAAATGATGTTTTCAATTACTTTACCTTTTTAAAAAATAGTCGTAAGAATACTTCAATCTATTCAAGATTGTTTCATTAATTCGATATTTCATCAAAGGGCAGATTACTCTAACTGCATAAAACTACCATGGAATTTGAACACCTTAGTGAATAGTGTTTACAGCTTCCTTAAACAAAATTAAATTACCCATTTATATATTGGTATTTCGTCTACAGTACATTCAGTGTTCGCCCAAGGCGTTCCTTTTTTCGTTTCCTTCACTGGTATTTAGTGTTCTTAAATTAAAGCATTTTAGGGACCATGTTTATCCTTGAATTCGTTATCCATGTAGTGCACCTTATGAACGAAGACTTTGCATGACATAAAGGTGAACGACCTTAAACATGTTGGGAAAATTTACAGCTGGAATGATATGCCTTTAACATCATTTGAAATGACTATTGTTATTAAATAGATTAACATTTTTATAATTATTTGACAGCTATGTCGGGCCAGAATAACCTGCAATAGTAAAGGAATCGTAAGTTATAGATGAATATTTTAATTTCAGATGTACATATGCAGAAAACAATATGTATTGTAGGAATCACTCCAGTTCCTGAATTCTTCTGGATAAATTCAATTTAATACTGTAGATTTTGTATTTTGTACGGAATCAGATAAGCGGGAAGAGGAAGGTTGTGAAAATATTTTAAATCTTTTAAAGTTCTTTTTTTTTATTGAACAATAATATTTTCAATATTTTTATTATCATTTAATTTAACTGGAATTTTTTTAAATGATGAAAATTTATTAATATGTTTCTAAATTTTGGGCATTTATTTCAGTGCTAAATATAAATAAAAGCATTTAAAGTTTAAAGTAAAATATTAATAATCATGGAAATATAAAAGTACAGACGTGGACAAATTTCAAACGTAACGTCTTCACATAAGAATTATTGATTAAAACTAAAAATATTCCGGTCCATTTAAAAGTAAAAGAGATCCATATTTCCTTTAAAAGGATGATTGACATAAATATAAAAAATACAATTTTGATTCAAGAATACTAAATGTATTAAATTACCTTAATATTCCTTTGCATTGATTTCTAAAAGTAAGATCTACAGTTAGCAGGATATGCATATAATTTAATATTCGAAAACATATTCGGTTATAAATAAGACATTCGCCTTCAAAGAAAAAGAACAAACATTAAATATTATCATATTCTATTTCTTGCTGTTTTATTTCCAAGAAAAATTATTTTGCGACTACAATACATTCGCAGAATTGCTTAAAAAAGGACAGCAAAAAAGATCAGATTTTTACTGCATTTTTATATGTGGTAAACAGAATACACACGAACAACATGCATTACTAAGGGACTTGAAATTGGAAATTTAGCTTCAAATTTATCTTCTTATTTCTCAGATGACTAAAACAGTGTGCATTGTGGGTGCTGGTGTGTCGGGTTTGACATCAATAAAGAGTTGTCTCGAAGAAGGGCTACTTCCGGTTTGTTTTGAAAAAGACACCGACATTGGGGGACTCTGGAATTACAAGGACACCCCAAAAGATGGTGAGCCCAGTCTGTACAAGTCTTGCAGCGTGAACACAAGCAAAGAGATGATGTGTTTTAGTGACTTTCCGATCCCTAAGGAGTTTCCTAATTTCATGAATCATGTTTACTTCAAGAAATACCTTGACTTGTACGCTGAGAAGTTTGATTTAAGAAAGTACATAAAATTTCAACATTCCATTGAGAGAATTCAGAAAGCGGACGATTTCCCTGAGTCTGGTGACTGGGTGATTACAAGTATTAATCTTCAAACGGGAAAGAAAGAAACGACTAGAATGAACTTTGTTTTAGCTTGTCATGGACATTTAAATGAACCAAATATTCCAAAATTCCCCGGTCTAGACAAATTCAAAGGAAGAGTGATCCATACACATGATTATAAGGATTTCTACGGATACGAAGGAAAACGGATTTTACTCATCGGGAACGGGAATTCTGGCGTGGATGTTGCATCAGAACTGAGTCTTCACGCAGAACATGTAAGATACTAGATTTAGTATACAGATGTTAATATCATTTAAAGTAAATCCTGAACTGTTACTATATTTTCACGATACCAGGATAACAGAACGTATTTCTATTCATGAAAATTGTGTTATCGCATAAATTTACATGCACGTTAAGTTTGTAATTCTTAAAAGCATGTGCAACCTTGTTTTATGAAAAGCACATATTTCATAAGGCCCTCCTATACGGCTTGACCTCTCGAATTCTAAGGAGCATCGAAATCAATTTTTGAGTAAAAAAAATGTATTTTCTTAACGAGGCCGAGTCTAATTATTTCTACCTTTGAGATTTTGATAAATTTTCTTGAACTGATTTTTACTATCATATTTATTGTTTTAAGATTAAAAAATCGAATGTTTACCGTCCCGATTTCTTAGGCGGCCATATCAAAAGTTGTCAAATTTTACTATTGGACCCTATGGGAATTTGTTGGAAAAGCGCCAAATTATCATATTTTTTTGTATTTCTGCTCTAGAGAATTCTTTTTCAGCCAAGTACATGAAAGTTATTGCAAAAAGTCACCAAACTGTGAAATTTGAAAAAAGTTGACCATCAAGTTTGGTGTAGGAATTATTACAAAGTTTATTTTTTTCAATGCTCAATACTTCTAAAATTGTCATATTGCGTTATATGTATATATCGGTGCAGATGAATTATCGGCGCAGATGAATTATTTTGTTTTAAAAAAAAATAGCAATGTTTAGATTGCTAATATGTTTCTTTTGATATTCTATCAACAGTTTTTAGAAAAATAACCATGGACATGTTGAATATACAAGCCAGTCATTTGGCATTCTTCAGCGTCATAGCTTACAAAATCGGAAAACAGTGACGTCGTTAGAACCATTTCAGCGGTTTTTTCTAATTATTGTCGTAAAAGCACAATTTCAGACCCATACGCGTTACAGATAATGTTAATTTTGTATAAAAATCACAATATTTGGGAAAGGTGTAATGTCACAAATATGACTGCATGAAATGAAAAAGCTGCTCAAAGTCATGCACACTCGAATTAGACTGGGCCTCGTGAAATTCCTCTGCATTCCGTATGAAGTATTTTTTTTTCTAACGTTCGATTTACAAGTTTATGTAGTTGACCGTATTCTCCAATTTTGTAACGTATTCATTGTACTTTATATTCCTTTTAGTTGTACATGTCCACAAGAAAGGGATTTTACATAATTCAGAGAACCTCTCACGAGGGTCGTCCGTTTGATCATACCGCTGTCTGTCGCTTCAGACAGAACCTCCCCTGGTCTCTCATGCGTCCTTTCATGTACCACGGAGTTTACGGCAGGTATAACCATGACAAGTACGGACTGTCCCCGAACCAGAGGTTTAACGGCGGAACTGTTTCCATCAGCGACGACCTTCCAAATCGGATCATCTACGGAAAAATTACGATGAAAACTGGTGTTGAGCAATTCACAGAGGACGGTGCAATTTTCATCGATGGTACGGAGCTTAAAGATATCGATGTAATAGTTCTCGCAACAGGATATAAGTACAGCTATGATTTCTTAGAAGAAGGTGTTATCAAACTCGATGAAGCGTTCCCGTATCTGTACGATTTAGTGTGGCCTGTGGATCTTCAGCCAGCGACCTTGGCTGTCATTGGTCTCGTTCAACCGTTTGGTCCGGTTCCTCCTATCCTAGAAATCCAGGCTCGATGGGCTGCCCGCGTTTTTGCTGGAAAATGTCAGCTTCCTTCTGTGGCTAAACGCGTAGCAGAAGTAGATCAGAATTATGTTTTATCAAAGAGACGCTTTGGCATCGAGGCATCGAGATACACAATCATCGTTTTCTTCATACAATATATCGATAAAATTGCTGGATACATCGGATGCAAACCTCCATTATGGCGACTCTTTTTTTCCGACAACGCCCTCTGGAGAAAAATTTATTTTGGGGGAGCAACCCCTCCGCAATGGCGCTTACATGGTCCAGGAAAGTGGAAAGGAGCTAAAGATGCTATAGAACGAGTGGAGGAAAACACATGGTATCCGTTACAGACGCGCCAAGCTGGCACAAATAGCAAGGAGGGGATCTATGAGGGGTGGATAAGTCTTCTGAAGAAGCTGATTTTGGGACTTTTGCTCTTGGGTTTTGTGAAATATATTATGTCTAACGGCCACGTGACTTTTCCACAAAAAACGTAGATCTTTTCCACAAGTACCTGTATAAAAGTTCAGTAAACAGATTTTTTTTCATTAATACGTGTAAAAAATAAACGCAAAATTTCTGATCTATAATTTACATCTACTTGTTCTTCATAGTTTCATCTATGATATCGTTTCAACGTTTTGGATTTAAAACTGTTTTGTGTATATTATATCTACAATACGTTTTGAAACAATCAAATCATGATTTTCAAGCCAAATATATATATTTTTAAATTTGATTGCTAGTTTTGTCAAATATGAAACGGATCCTTTGTTAGAAATAAATATACATATATGTACAGTTGTGAGTTTTATGCAGCAACAAACTTTATAAATGCACTCTGTATAATTTATGTACTATTTTACCATCATGGAATTCGTATTTTGCGCCTTTGATGCAATCTCTTTAATACACTAATTCACCTTTTAAAAGAATATTCACAGAACAAGTCCTCATACTACAGGCTTCCGAAGGTCTTGTCTAATCAGGAAGGTCGACATCGATAATATGACACACCAGTGTTAGTTCCGTCTTTCAGAACTTATTAACAATTTCTCAAAAGTTATCAGTAATAATGGATAAACTCAAATGTATCCTGAATGGAATAAAAGGTAATTCTAAAATTTCTTTGAAGCAATTTTTGGATCTGATACTGTAGGTGTAAGTATGAATTTAACTGCTATTGAATATATAGATAGCACGGAGTCACAACAAACTACAAGTATTATTAGTCCCCTACCGGTGAAACAGGAGGGGACTATAGGTTTCCTCTGAGTCTGTCCGTCCGTCTGTCTGTCTGTCCCTCTGTCTGTCTGTCAGTCTGTCCCACTTGGTTTTCCGCACTTTTTTCCTAAACGCTTGCAGATATTGAGCTGATTTTTGGTATGTGAGTGTATCTTGATGAGTTACAGATCAAGTTTGTATTTCGTTCCGCTTCATTGAATTTTGACGGAATTACGGCCTTTTCAATTTTTAGGGGTTTTCCGCAATTTTCTTCTTAACGCTTTCAGATATTGAGCTGATTTTTGGTATGTTACTTAACTTTGATTAGTTATAGATCAAGTTTGTATTTCGTCCCGCTTCATTGATTTTTGTCGGATTTATGGCATTTTCAATTCTTAACGGGAACCAGATTACACTTGCCGGTAGGGGACTAGTATTGCTAATGCAATACTCTCAGAATGCTTGTTGAATATAGACAACACCGAGTCACAGCAAAACTACAGGTATTTCCTTGTATTTTTTGTTACTTCATTTTACAGGCATTAGCGTTTTATTCCATTCTTTGCATTGATACAAATATAGCAATTTTATAATTTTATAATAATAAGATAGCCATTTTCCGTCAAGTACTTAATTTAATTGTGACATCACAACTTAAACTACGTAATATCCATTCTTTTTATTAGAATTCAAAGTCATTCTATATACCGCTCCCGATGCAGTAAATCTTAGAAATGGGGGGGGGGGGTTGAGGCTGTATATCGGACACAAAGATTGATTTGATTGATTGTATGTTGTTTTACGACACATTCAAAAATTTTTCACTCATATAGAAACGTCACCAGATGCCGGTGAAGGGCTTCAAATTTTGACCTTTACTTGGCACTTAGGGCGATTAAGCAGTGAGGGATCTTTATCGTGCCAACGCCTGACGTGACACGGGTCCTCGGTTTTAAGGTCTCATCCGAAGGACCCGCAACTTTCACTTCAAGTGCCGCCAAGAGCATAGCGAGGGAACAGTTGCTACCCATTTTTGTCGACTTAGGTCAGTCGCGACCCAGATTTTCAGTTTAGTTATACAATATATATTCTACAGTTTGAGTAAAGAATACCAATTGATATTCGGTAACTAGTTACAAAACTTAAACAAACCGTCTACTTCTGATATCTTCCGTTATATGAAGGATGGACCCTCCTTAAAATTAACATATTAAAAAATCAATTTACTGAAATATATCCGGATATACAGATGAAACTTAATCTATAACCCGAGGCGAGCTTCCCAGAGGACGAGTTGACAAATACATAAATGATTTGAACATAAAGGGGTTATTAAGAACAAAAAAAAAATATATTAAGACTCCCTGACTGATTAATCTGAATTCTAACAATGTTTTGTTTTACATTTCGAATCAACCTATTTTAAGTAGCTGATTTTTATTTCTTGTATCGATCAAACATTTCTCTTTTCCAAACATAGATCTCAAATATTTCATTAACGGTGAGAATATATAGTATAGACTAAGTCCTTCTTAGCTCACCTGAGCGGAAAGCTCAAGTGAGCTTTTCTGATCACCCGTTGTCCGCCGTCCATCCGTCAGTCTAGCTGTCCGTCCGTCTGTAAACTTTTCCCATTTTCAACTTCTTCTCAAGAACCACTGGGCCAATTTCAACCAAACTTAATACAAAGCATCCTTGGGTAAAGGGGAATTGAAATTGTTAAAATGAAGCGCCAAGCCCCCTTCCAAGGGGAGATAATCAAGAAAAGAAAAAAATAGGGTGGGGTCATTAAAAATCTTCATCTCAAGAACCACTGGGCCAGAAAAGCTGAAACTTAAGTGGAAGCATCCTGGGGTAGTGTAAATTCCAAATTGTTCCAATCATGACCCCGGGGGTAGGGCGAGGCCACAGTAGGGAATCAAGTTTAAAATTGAAATATGTAGAAAAAATCTTTAAAAATCTTCTTCTCAAGAACCACTGGGGGGGAGGGGCACAATGGGGAATCCAAGTTTTACATTGAAATATGTAGTAAAAATCTTTAAAAATCTTCTTCTAAAGAACCACTGAGCCAGAAAAGCTGAAACTTACATGTAAGTGGAAGCATCCTTGGATAGTGTAGATTCTAAATTGTTCAAATCATGACCCCAGGGGTAGGGCGGGACCACAATAGGGAATCCAAGTTTTACATTGAAATATGTAAAAAAAATCTTTAAAAATCTTATTCTCAAGAACCACTGGACCAGAAAGCGTAAAACTTATGTGGAAGCATCATGGGGTAGTGTAGACTCTAAATTGTTAAAATCATGACCCCAGGGATGGGGGGGGGCACAATGGGGAATCCAAGTTTTACATTGAAATATGTTGAAAAAAATCTTTTTAAAAATCTTTTTCTCAAGAACCACTGCGTCTGAAAAGCTGAAACTTAAGTGGAAGAATCCTGGTGTAGTGAAGATTCTAAATTGTTCAAATCATGACCCCCGGGGGTAGGGCGGAGCCACAACAGGGAATCCAATTTTTACATTAAAATATGTGGTAAAGATCTTTAAAAATCTTCTTCTAAAGAACCACTGGGACAGAAAAGCTGAAACTTATGTAGAAGCATCCTGGGGTAGTGTAGATTCTAAATTGTTCAAATCATGACTCCTGGGGGTAGGACAGGGCCACAGTAAGTACTACAAGGGGGGAAATCAAGTGAAAAACAGCAAAGCCAAAGTTACTCATGTGAGCGTTGCGCCTCTTGTTGCCATTATGACTACGTAATATACACACCTGGTTTATTCATCAGAAGTCGATATTAAAAATGCAAACAAAGACCATTAAACCGCTTTCTTCCGACTCTCAAGCTAGGGGTATAGAAAAGTAAACTTGTGGGACGTCTCAGATAGGTTACCCGATTTTGATGTTGAAATGCTAATGAAGCAATTAATTTACAATTTTGCGTAATTTCGAGTTAAGAAAAATGTCAATTTTGGAATTCATTTCAGCATATCTTGGGCAGTATACGGAATTTCACATAGCGTTTTCGTAGTAATGTCGATTGTTGATATGAGAATAGATATGAATAGAAAAGATAATTTTAAATCACATTATTTATTAGAATTAAATTGGGGAATTAATTGGCGAAATTCGGTATCCTCTCTGAGAAGTTCCACACCTCTACTATTTAATACCTAAAGTTTGGAGAGATCCAAAACCTCTGATACAGACAGTAAAAATATGCTGAAAGCAGAAAATGTTACAAATGTTATGGTGAGGCCACCTTTACAAAAAATCGGTTGCCCTCTACCGACCGACTGGCTTAAAATGACCCGACTTTTTTTAATCTCAAGGAAGCAATTATTTTTTTTATGTATTCTTGAAAATAGATTTTAAAAACTTAGCATGAAATTGAAATTTTCTGAGAAAAAAATTCTTACCTACCTACCGACCCAATTTTTTTCATCCTAAATCGAGAGAGAGCAAACAAACATTATTCAAACTTGGCCTGATAAGTTCTCATTTCAAAGCAGTGTTTTAAGCCCGGTATACACGGTACGATTTGTATTTTAATACAAAACTTTCCATGTATACACTCTTAATACAGTATATCATAAGATTTTTTCGAATCTTATGCATGTGTAAAACTATATTAAGAATAGAGCAATGCTCTTTTTCTTACATTGTAATACAAGTCTTAACTCACCTTTCACTTTCAACCAATCAAAGGTAATCACATTGGGGGAAATCCTATTTTTATTATTACTAAAAAAATAAAAAGGAAAATAATGGTCAAGTTTAGCAGTAAAGATACAAAAAAACTTATTGTTTTATGGTAAGGAGGTCAAAGGAGTAACAACATGTAATTGTAAAACATCCTCAAATGCTGCTTTTAAACATTATCCATTCCAAAGAAGTTTTTCTGACTGCTTGAGTTTTCTCTTTGAAGCTCATATAGGGATGCATTATATGTGCATCAAACATGTTTCGCCACTGTTTCCACAGTACTAGTCTTACCTAGAATTTCCTTACCATTTTAATTTATTTTATCTTTTTATTATTTTTATTATTTGGGAGAGAGAGAAATGTTTCGGAGGAAAACACGTGGAAATACCTTAGGTCTATTTAAAATCTTGTAAGATATGTATAGCGTACATAAAAGAAAGTCTTAAGCTTGTAATACAAAAGTATAATAATACTTGCATTATTTTACAAATCTCATCGTGTGTACCGGCTTTTAGATGTACCAATCCTTTCAAATTTCAACAAACTTAGCTCTTACGTAATTTTTTCTAGAAGTCGTTAGATCAGAACTAATTTTATTGCTAAAGCATAACTTATTGTTTTTTTTTTTATTAAGAAAGGAAATAATGTAAAAAAAAAAAAAAAAAAAAAAAAAAAAAGTAAGGATATTATGAATGAAATTAGTAGTTGGGCTATATAGGGATACGGTCTCTTCCAATTCAGAAATATTTACACATTTTTTTATAGATATTAAATTCTTTACAGGAGATCCAGATACTGCAGTATGAATGAATGAATGAATGGTAGTAATTTCAAGGTCAGACCCTTATAAACGTTATCAAAGTACAAAAATCAAAAAGACAAATTGCTAGTATCTCACTTTTCATGTCCTTTAACATCAATCATACTTGACTATAAACGTCAGTCAAAGCAGGCTAATCATTGATATAAAGACTTGGATATTGAAATGTCCCTACCGAGAGAGGATGTGGGGAGAATGTTGTCAGTCAAAAATTATTTACTTTTCATAAGCATAAAAAATTCTGAATCCTTTCAAATTTCCTTAATTAGCTATGATTTTTTTTTAATTTTGAAGATTTTCTCAAATTCTGGTTAAAATCCACCGTTGTGAAAAAAAAAATTGAGACAAATGTGACTTTATATCATTTAATTAACACAAAAAAAACAAAACTATGCAATTGTATAAATATTTTATTCATTACAATCACAACTACATCCAGGTCGGATCACAGGAATGAAAGTTATTCATTCCGTGAAACACTACTTGCAGCGAAGAGGCGCCATTAATTAAGATTGTCACAGTGAAGTGACAGGCCTCAAATATCATGCATATACATTGGTAGGTATAAGGTCTCTGAAAATTACAAAATTTGCCTAAGTCTGGGATAGTTTTTTATGTAAGTATAGAAATGAGACTACCAAATCCCCGGATGTACATGTGGCTTTGTTTGTTATGGCAAATAGTATGTGGTACTGAATAGGTAGGCTTTAGCCGACTGGATGAATTTAGATACGTAAATATTTTCATTTTAAAGTTAAAATATTAATGTTTGAAGTAAAGAAGAAAATGATATAATATAACGGAAAATATATAAATATTAGGAGAGATTCTAGGGTTTGATACTTAATGCAGAGTGCCATTTACTGCAGACCACTGTAATTTGTAAACAATTGGAATTTTGACATATGAACGCCATAGGACCATATATTTCTTTCAGGCTTAAAATTATATGAGCGGTTATGATAAAGTTTCAAACAATGCCAAGGATTTGTACGATGAAGTTGAATTTGTAACGTTTTCAGAGGACATAAGGTTTGTATAGAGTTCTATGGGAAAATAATAAGTACTCTTTTCCCTATAATTTATCTTGCAGATTTTTACTTATAAAAGAGGGTCTTCACACTCGAGGTCATCAAGATTATTTTATCAAATTCATGCTTTATAAAGATAATTATTTTACTTTTTGTCCTCTGAAAACAATGTACAACAAAGCCATTTCTGCTTTTTTTTCTTGCTGTATAGGTGATTCTACCCTTTGAAGGAAGCACACGTGCTTTTGTTTACCTCTCTAACATACGTTTTATTGGTTTCACAAGGGAGATCACTCTCAATCACTATTTTACACTAGAGGAAAAGCCCATGTATCAAACCTTCATGCCTTGGCAATGATCCTAATTATCGTTTTTCACATTTATGATGAAAAGATCTTATCTTAAGGACTTTTTCGATGATTATTCTAACAATTACTGAAAAAGTTTCATTTAAATCATCGAATAAGTCTACAAGATAAGAATTGTTTACCACGGGCTAAATAAACTGGTTAAAAAGGTAAATATAAGTGGACAAAGAGACAAATTAATTTGATATAGCATAAAAAAATGTGTGTTTTTCAAGATATATGACAAATCAATAAGTGAGAAATTAAACAAGTCTTTCTTGTTCAAGTAAAGTTAATAATAATCCCCCATAACATGCTGTCGAAGTGCATTTTTCATTATATAAAATAAAATTAAAGTACCAACAAATCTCAGAAGAATAAATATATAGCATACCAGTATCAACAGACAAATAAACCAACAAAATATACGTACGATAAATGTTTACGATGTAACATGATCATTTTAGGTAGATAACGTACATATATAAGTGTGTTATTTACATTTGCTATTGAAACAAAGCTTATCTTTTTGAGGATTAGACATATCTGATTTTTTTTAAATATCACTAGTAATTAAGTGACTAAATTTGCAGTAACGAATGTATATACAAATTGTCATGTCATGTGTAACTATTTCACATGTTTTCACCTTTCATGCACTAAGAACAACTCAAAATACAACAAAAATCATAAAAATTACAGGTCATGACCGCACAAGAAATGAATGATACCCCAGTTTACAGTAAGTTTGAAACCTTTCTCAAATATGGACAGTTTTCTTTAAACAAACAAATTCTGTAAACCAACTATTATTCGCTTCATCTCTTATTCGCGATTAGTCCATTTAAAATCAATCCGCGACAATTAATTTTCGCGACTGAGGAAACATTCTCTACAAATACAAAGCAAAATAAATGGTTCGTGGCGATTAATATTCGCGAGTTAAAGTAGGTCTCAAAACTCGCGGATATTTCTCGCACGCGAATAAAAGTTGGTTTACAGTAATAGGATGCTATTGTACAAGCTTATGCATAAAAATTGTCCATGTTGATTTTATTTTCAATGACAAGACTGTAACATACACAGCTTTAAGAATCCAAAATACACTTATTGTTTCCCGATCAGTCATCCCTTTTTCGTTTGCGTGATGTCCATCCAAGTTCAACTATCACATCATTTCTGTCTATAAATGTCAATGCATTGCAAACCTTCTGTCGGCTAAGCATGTAATGACATTCCTCCTGTATCTTTGAAAGTGATTTATATATTTTATCCTGTATCTTCAAACCATCTGCTTCCATTTGTTCGATATATCTTTGAGGAAGCCCTAAAAATCGGACAAAATGAGTGTAGTCTTTTGGGAGATATTCGGACAATGTTTTGAATTCTGTTGTTGAAACATTCTGATCTGGGCAAGCAACACCACTGCAAGCAAAGTCCTTAATATCAAATGTTCTAACGTATTCAGCAGCTTGTCCTTGACCTTCTCTCTGTAGAATGCTCTCTAATTCTCTCAAGTGATCAATGTGTGCATTCTTGGATTTCCATTGGTACAAGATTCTAAATACTTTCTCCTCAAAACTGAGAGTGGGAGTGATATCCACATTGACTTCAAGTAGACACTCAAAAATACTGATGGGAATACCTCGGATTTTTCTTGAAGCAGCATTAAGAACCAATTCAACAGCTGAAACATAGGACATTACAAAGTAAAGGTCAGATTATTATTACCTTGCATTTTCAAAATTTTCCTTTATATCCATGTCTTAAAAAAAAAAAGAAAATTACCAGACATAATGCATTTAAGTGAGTTAAAATGCATAAATGGAGGACTGGATTCAAATCTTCGTATATATTTAAACACAAATATTACGATATATATATATATATATATATATATATATATATATATATATATATATATATATATATATATATGTATTATGTAATATGAAGATAAAGAAGAGTAATAAATCCCAAAAGTCCATTGAAACAACACAAATTTGGAGCAGAGCAAACACGGATTTCGTAAAAATAACAGAGGTGGGATCAGGTGCCATGGATGAGTAAGCATCCCCTGTCGATCGGTCACACCTGCCGTGTGCTCATTGTCATGATCGGGCGAACGAAAGAATCTGTAGACAATTCAGTGTTTAAATAATTGCCTAACAATTAGGATGAAAAACATCAGTCAGCATTCGACTAAATGATAAGATTGTATTTAATTTGCTGACAAGGTCATTGTATCGACCATAGAACTTGCGAAATGATGACTTTAACCAAGACTGTTAAGATCCTTCATGCATCAACTTGTTTCCAATTGCTTGCCTCACTTTAGAAATTGTTCGTTTGTGCAGCATGCTCTTGCATATTGAATCCACTAGGAGATATTAACAGCATATACAGGTGACAAGGGTATTTCGCTACATAAATAAGGGACGTTGACGATGGAAAAAATTGAAGTCATCTCGTTTATTATAAAGGTTTGCTGTAAATTACCATTTACGTCTTTTTCTAGTAAAATATGATAACATGAAACATAAAGTATGTGGTATCTTATATCAAGTTCACTGGGATATATAGGGTCGACATATAAATGGAATTACTATTGTTTTTTTGATAATATGTCATCGATATATCTAAATGTTGAGCTGAAGACCATATAAAAAGAATATTGCATAATATTAAACTATGAGTTTTATATATATTTGTTTCAGCACTGGGCTGATGCAGTTAGTTTAAAGAACTCAGTATGACCCAATTCAGAAAAAGAACTATAGGGTTTTAGGCTAAAATCTAGGCTTGATTAGAATAACAATCCGAGTATAATGGAGATAGGGGTCGAGTTGAAGGGGGCAGGGCAACTGGAAATGAATTCTAGCTAATCTGACGCCCTTCATTTTTTTCCAAAAAATGATGCATTTAAAGTTTCTTATTTTTCAAGTTCAGTATGTTATAGTACTTTTACCTCAGATGTTAGATCAGAAAAGGGAGATTTTTTTCTCAATGAAGTAAAGAAGTCAATAACAATCTACCAGCAAACTTCATGAAAATACGTTTAGGCCAAAACTAATAACTAAATGAAAAATAAAAAAAAAAAATTATTTAAACTTTATACAATGAACAAACTAACACAACACAGCTTGCTTCTTGATATTTGGAAACATTCTAGATGGCTATTTTTGTTTTTATGGCCTTAGTCATACTCATTTAGAGTTGATTTGAACACAAAGAACATGTGTTTTTCTTTGGTCTATAGAAAACCTGTTTTTAGGATAAACCTAGAAATTATTGTTTGTTTATGAATTTATAGAAAGAACATGTACAACTCCTATCAGTCTACATGTTGCATTGTAAAAAGGAAAAGTTTGTACCTAATTACCTGTATTTAGCTACAATCAATGGTCTAATTTTCTTCAATTGTTTTTGTGCATGCACATTTAAAATCAAAAGCCTGAAAGGCTTTACTTAAGCGTCGAACATGAAAAACAATTTCAAAAGATCTTCTTTTTTTTTAACTTGAAGATAACAATAGCATGAATAGGTCAACTGAGCGACTCAGGTGACTAACGAAAATTTTTAGTTTTAAACAAAATGTCACAATCACAGTCTGGGGCATTATGATATGGTCCGAACAGAGCAGGGTTTGAATTGACTAGACACCAACAAACATGTTCATGCTGAATATCAAATTCATCTCTTTTCAGTCAGTTGAAGAACTATGAAGAATTTAATGAATTAATATATAATTATTCTAATTGTCTATGTCTAAGAATTGTTTTAGTGCAAGTAAACAACCACCACGACTCTACTTTGTTATGAGTACTATCGAGTTATGATCAGGCGTGGTATACAAAATGCGGCAGAATGAAGAAATACAGTTACTATAATAACCTATTTTTTATGATAAAATTTGATTATAAAATATAAGGTTGAGATTTTGAAATTCAATCTTTTTAGTTTCTAGCATTCGTGTTTATGTAATTTGATTATTTTACCGCCAGTTGGGTTACACGGTTATCCTGCCGAAATGTTATTCATGTCATTCGACACACTATTTCTTAAGATTAATTCATCTTATACAACAAATATCACGTTTTTCTTGTGAAAAAATAGAGTAATCGTAGATATATGAATTGGTGCAATTTTATTTTCAAGCTTTTATTCATTGTGAATATTTTCAAAGAAGTTGATCTATTACAAGTACTATTTTCTTTTTAGGATGCATCGACTGACACATTCGGTCGCATAAATTCTGGTAGCGATTTCGATTGGACACCTGCTAGATGACGTTCGAGCTAGAAAGTTTGACGCCATTAAGAAACAAAATGGCCATGGGCCACAACACTCACCTGAGTTACTTTGGCCCTACTTTTATTCATCAGATTTTCTTAATTGTATTTGTATGTAAAATGTTTATGGTCTTTTCAGGCCCCACCCTATAGACAGGATTCATGATATGAGCAAAAATGAATCCACATGAGAGGAAAATGCCATCATATTCACATAATTAATCATAGCTTTGTTGTTCCTGAGTATTTTAAAGATTTCTCTCTATGTAATCCCTATTGTGGCCCCTCCTACCCCAGGGGGGCATGATTTAAACAATTTAGAAACTACACTACCTCAGAAAGCTTCCACATAAGTTTCAGCTTTCCTGGCCAAGTGGTTCTTGGGAAGAAGATTTTTCTCATATATTTCAATGTTAAACTTTGATTCCCTATTGTAGCCGTGCCTTATCACTTGGGGTCATGTTTTGACATGCTTTACCCACGGTGGTTATGCTTTAGACAATTTAGAATTTACGCTACCTAATGAAACTTTCACATAAATTTCATAAAAATGTTTTACCCACGGGGGTTATAGTTTAGATAATTTAGAATTTACGCTACCTAATGAAGCTTACACATAAATTTCACCTTTAAATTCTGACCCAGTGGTTCTTGAGAGGTTTTTTTTAATGACCCCATCCTATTTTTTTACCTTTTCTTGATTATCTCCCCTTGGAATGGGGCTTGGTACATCTTTTTAAAAATTTAGAATCCTCTTGGCCTTGGAGGTGCTATGTACAATCTTTGGTTAAAATTGACCCAGTGGTTCTTGAGAAGAAGTTGAAAGTGTACAGACGGACGGGCAGACGGACAGACAGTCGGACGGACGCCGGAAAACGGGTGATCAGAAAAGCTCACTTGAGCTTTCAGCTCAAGTTCAAGTGAGCTAAAAACAGTAAAACGAAATTCTTGATTCATGTCTTACAAACTATTTCTCTGTTTTATGATATATTTTCTTTTTTGATGAAATATTTATTTGATGTGTAAGCCAAGCTTATGGTCTTACATGGCAGCTAAGCACTGGACTTGAGGGTCAACTAATTAAGTTCCATAAGTTTCCAAGTCAGCCCCACTCTCATGTTTGGATCCATGGACACATGTGAATGGATGAGGACTCACAAGGAATTCATAAAGATCCGACGTATTTATGAGATGGATCACTGTTCACATTTTGTACATTTCATGATGATTAAAATACACAATTTTTCAAGATAAAATTCATCTATTAACGTAGCTAGATTATTATAAAGTTCTACACTTTTGGGTCACACATTACAAAATGGCAAATTGCTAATCTGCCAACCTGCACCTTGTTTGCTGCAATGTATGTTTTCTTTATTTCTTTTTTTTATCAAGACTTTTGATGAATCAGTTTAGTACAGTACTATACGGATATAAATGATTAATATGTAATACATACAGGAATCTGTACCAGTGTCTTCATTGGTTCCACTCTCAGACAGGCTATCCTGTTTTATAAATAAAAAGAAGAGGATATCAAGTTTAGGTGTGTATTTAAAGGAGAGGATATCAAGTTTAGGTGTGTATTTAATTTACAATGGACTCTTTCATATGATACATTTTTTTGTATTTGTTTTTTTAAAGACAGAAATAAGAATGTTCCATCTTCAAGATAGTTGAATCATGAGAATCATTTGAACCAGCCATAAAATGGTTAACAACAATAATTTCCTGATGGTCCCAAAATTATTAGTCAATGTCATAAAAGAAATAAATTAATAATCAATTACACTGTCTTCTATTCAAAGAATTCGCAGGAAGTGCAGATCATATCAGTCTGGCAATTTCCAGCTGGTTTTTCTTTCTATTGAGTCATTTACCCACATCTTCAACAGATTATGAATTTTTTTCAAAACTCGGCCATAATTTAAATGTTATTTTGATTGGTTGTTTTGTTGCCATTAAAACAAATCTGTTGTCTTTGAATATGAAACAAGCGTGTGTTTTCCCCTCAGTTACTACATCTAAAAACAGTTTTAATTTTTATCATTACTAATTATTACTAATGTACGCTAAAACTAACTGCAAAATCCAACACTGTCGTATGAAATTAAATCAGCACAGACAAATTCATTGTTGACAACCTAACAACAATATTGCTTAAAATTTTCAAGAACATATCTAAATCTACATTAAATTATCAATGTTTCTTTTTCTAATGTACGTGCTTTGTACATCCAACTTTTAAATTTTGAAACATTATTCAATATTTCTTGTTCAAAGAACAAGACATATAATTTTCTACTCTATATTCCAATGAAAAACTTCGACCCCATTCTGGGTCCCACCATAGCCCGGCGGGAAGGGGATATTTTGAACTAACTTGAATCTGCATTTCTTGAAAAGTTTTGCATACTTGTATTAGTTTTAATGAATTTGACCTTTTTGCACTTGAAATAAAATCTTTCCATTATGTCATATATTCTAATGTAAAACTTTGATCATTTCATTGTGGCTTCACCCTGTCACCATGGCTATATTTTAGCAAACCTGGATTACCACTATTGTCTTGAAGCTTTTATTTGACTTTAGGGGCTTACAAATAGATTTCTCAGCATTTGCCCACGAGCAAGTGTTAAAATTTCATCCATGTGAGACAAAATTGATTGTTGAGATATAAAAATTAAAAAAAATATACAATATCAAATATATTAAATACTTAGTACCAGAGAGCTAGGTTCACTTTATTCATAAAATGGCCTTTCCAAACACCAATTTAATGACCAAGTCCCAATGTCCAATTTTAAACATCAATATAGAGACTTTGTGCTTTCATTTCCTATGAAAAAATTTCCTCTAAAAGTCCATTAATTGAAAAATAGGCTTTGTGGAATTGCAAATGACCGTAATCTTTGAAACACCATTAGACCACTTGTTTGATAATTACACCCATGGGTCAAGTAGAATTTCTCTTATTGACACAAAGGAACATTATATTTGTTATTCGATTTTAGTAAAGTATATCATGAAAAAAAATGTGTACTTTCTTTATTTAACATTTTTAATGTGGTTTCTGCATCTGTTTGGATTGTTAAACTTTAAAGCTAAAAATATAGCTTTTTTTTTTTTTTTTTTTTTTTTTTTTAAAAGTCACCGTAATTAAAAGTTAAAGTGACCTTCAAGTAGGATCCAACGTAACTTCTAAGCTAACTGCATAAACACCTTTTACCAAAGATTAATCAGCTGACACAGTTTGATAATTCTAGGTATCATAGTGTTTGAGTTATGAGCCAGACACAAAAAAGCAAACAGACAGACGGGTGGACATGAACTCCATATACCATAATGCATCTCGTTTTTAGATGGGCATATAGAAAGTTAACAAACAGTTGAACTTGAGGACTGACAGAATGTGGGCAAACTCGATCAGAAAAACTCATTTTTTTTTCTTAGATGTTTGCAGAAATGGTGAATTTGTCAATAAAAAATAAGTTGAAAATGTGAAAAGTTTTCAGATAGCAAGAGGCATACAACATACAGAAAGATAGACAAACACAGACATTTTTCAATCAAAAATGCAACTCTCTTCCAAAGAATAAAATGCACTTGTCTAGGCATAGTCATGGTAACCAGGGCTCGACATTAATAATCATTCTAACTAACAAAGCTATTCTTCTTATTAGTCTTGTACTTTTATCAAAGGGGGGGGGGGGGGTGAGAGGCCAAAACTGCTTTGCTTTAAGCCTCTTGTCTTTGAACCTTAAAGAGGTATCATACATTTTCAAGGTATGTTCTCAAGGTTAAGCATACCATAGATAGAATCCTGATTTTTTTTAATCTAGTTTTCTACCATATTTGTTGATCTGTAACATGAACACAAGAGGTTCAAGTGCCATAATGCTCACTTGAAAACTTTTTCCTTTCTTAATCTCAAGAAGAAAATTTAAAAGCACTTTGGTTCAACCCCCAAGACCCATAACTGAACAGAAACTGGGGTGTCAAAAATACTCTCTAATGACATAAATCATTCTAAGTCACATAATTCTAAAATTGCGTAGCATAATTTGTATTTTTGATGAAATTGATCATATTCTGAAGTACCTGTTTCCAATAATTACCTTTTGATTTCTAAACTGGTTTCTAATTGTCTTTAAAAAATGAAGCACTAAAAATGTGATGTTGGCAAATTAAGTTTTTCCAAAAGGATTTCACAGGAAACAACATCCTTTGGTATCTTGCACAAATGCCTGGTAAGGTACCTCAATTTTTTGCGAGTAAACATGTTAAAGTAGCAGTACTTCAATGACAAAATCTTAGAAAAAATTATATATTTTTGAGGAACGTATCGTCTGTCCTTAATAGTGTCTGTTTCAAAAATACTCTCTAATGATATAAATCATTATAAGTCACATAATTCTAAAATTGCGTAGCATAATTTGTATTTTTGATGAAATTGATCATATTCTGAAGTACCTGTTTCCAATATTTTGTGATATCTTTTGTGTTAATGGGATGCTTTTTGTTTGCCGGACAGGAAGGACACTGAAAAATTGCTCTTGTAAACTCTGATTCCTTTATGACAGCACTTTCTTTCCTGTCACAAAATCCAGAAGGCTTGCATTTGATCCCGACATGGAACTCAGAGTTTTTTTGGAATGTGTTAGAGAGATCATGTAATATACGGTTAATGTTTTCTCTAATCTGATGACAGGTTGAAACATCAACTTCTCCCTCCACAACAAACACCTGCAACTGAATTTCTGTGTGAGTCATTCCAAGCAGAATATTATGGTGCTGGTCATGAAACACAAAAATAGCTGCAGTCTGGTAAATGCATCCTCTGTCTTCATCAGAAAAAATCTCCCAAGGAATCTGCATGCAGGTTGCTACAAGGCGATGGAAAATTTCCACAGGAAGAACATCAAATGTGTAGCAAAGGATTGAGGAGGCAGGGTATGATGAAAAGTAGGTCACTGGAAATTGCATCTTGTTCATGCAGGGGACATACCACTTTTTGTCACTCATTTTAGCTATGAGTCCTAGCTTCTCCATATATAGCAAGATATCATCTTTATGTTCGATGTAGCCATTGTTGCTCATTCTCCATATAGCAGATAGGAGAGTTTCATCTAACTCTCCAGTTTCATTGAATTTGTCCCATTCTGAGGCAAATTCGAATAAATCTTCTTTTGCATGGTTTTTATCTGTTATGACATTTTTAAATGCATCTGCAAACCACTGAACATCGAGAATAATAGCTTCATTGAGAAATTGTTGATTGAAGTGTATAATTTCTCTGATATCATGGAAGAACTGCAGCATGGCATTCATATCTTCAATAGTATGGAGCTTTATTCCCTCTGGCAACGTTACATTGAAGGACTGAAGTTCACCCCAACTCAAAATCTTGTGGATTTTCTTTTCCCGAAAGAATGTTTCAAACATAGCCCATGACTGTGGAAGCTCTTCACCCCAGTGATCAAGCCTGCACACGACATCAGCAATGGACAGCTTGAGTTTTTCAATGCTTTCGTTGTCATGGAATCCAACTGCAAATCGTCGCTTCACATCAATATGTTTGTGCAAAGACTTCTTCTTCATGTCTAGAATCTTCCATACTTCACGGAAAAACAATTCTTTTTCCTACAAAAAAAAAAATCCTTCTTTTATTCCATGCAAACAAAGCAGTGATGGTGAAACAATGTTCCAACTCATGAAATGTGTTCTTGCTGTCTGTTCACACAGACCTCATGAAACACAACATTGCATATACATGTACATAGTATAATATACATTTACAGAGCAAAAATCTATGACATAGTTAAATATGCTTGTAAAACAATAAATCTATAAAATATACTTTAATTACTCAAACAAGAACAAATCAAACTAGAAAGTCTGCTATTGCAAGCAATAGCATATGTCACCCCAAACTGAACCATAAGCTTTAAGATTCTTCAATCCATAAAGAGGTGAGTGATTGTAGAAAAAGCCCCCCCCCCCCCCCCCCAAACTCCTTTCAAAAACAAAAGATGTTACGCATGCTAGCTTTGGTCGAACAAAAGTTACGGGAAGAGAAAGTAGAGCAAGGTTCAAGTCAAAACATGGCTGTAGCCAAATAATTCCTGAATTTTCCTCTTCAAATCAGGCATTCCTACATTGGATGAGGGCTAATATTTTTTATGAGAGGATAAATTATGTGTAAACTTTCTTAGTTTAGCAGAATCATGGACACTTCCGGCGCGCTAAATCTTTTGGGTACATTTGTGATGAGGTTTTCAAGGAACTGTGGGAGCGGATCCCAGGATTTTCAATTAATAAAAACGATGGAAATTAAATTGAAATAATTCTCAATATCATTAAATGAAATTATTCATATAAAAGTAATACATTCACCAGAAAACGCGAAATGCTAATGAATATAGCTGACAATCGCTACTTTTTAAAGATAAATTTTAGATATAATAATTATAATTTCTATTGACAAAACAAATGAAGAATGAATACTGGCAAACTATCAGATCACATCAGCGGAACTGAATGTTATTAATGAAACTCATAAGATCTCCCTATCAGTTGTAAATTTTATATCTTGCGTATCTACCTCGCTGTTTCGGGTTTGTTTGTGTGTTGGGGGGGGGAGTCTTGAAAAGAGATATGTTAATTAAACATAATTTAGTAGTAAGTATGAAGCAATAGCATTTTGAAAACTTTATGATGATTTTTGTGATATGAAGGTCAAGGTCATTTTATTTATAATCCAAGACATAAGAGAGAGAGAAAAGGTGGATGGTAAATTATAACGTTGTCTTCTTTATTTCAAAACATAGGTAATCAGAGATTACAGAGCTCACCTCAACGAATGTTGTCTTTAAGTAAGGCAAAGTACCACACTAAACTAATGATCTAGTAGTGTGCATCCCTAGATGCAATATTTATGCAATTTTGGTCTGATATGGCTTGCTTCTTGGAATGGACTTATCTAAAAACTTAAAACTAGTCACTCATCCAGAAAACGTAAGTCAAATCCAGCATCTGAAGCAAGTTTGAGAGTGTTTGTCCCTTGATGCATCATCCATGCAAGTTTGGTTCAGATAGGCCTTATAGTTACTTGAAAATGAGATCTGTTCCAAAAAATTTAACCTGGTCACTCATCCGAAAAATGTAGGTCAGGTCCAGCATCCAAAGCAAGTCCAGTACTGTGAATCCTTAGATGTATCATCCATGCAAGTTTGGCCAATATAGGGCTTATAGTTACTTGGAAATGAGATCTGCTCCAAAAACTTTAACCTGGTCACTCATCCGGAAAATGTAGGTCAGATCCAGCATCTGAAGCAAGTCCAGTAGTGTGCATCCTTAGGTGTATCATCCATGCAAGTTTGGCCAATATAGGGATTAAAGTTACTTGGAAAGAGACCTGCTCTAGAAACTTTAACCTGCACCAAAAACATTAACCTGCTCCAAAAACATTAACCTGGTCATTCTTTAGCTGAAATTGCAGCATCTGAAACCTTGACTGGTACAATGAAACACACTAGAAGCATCCTCCATGCATCTCTGATTGATATAGGGCATAGAAGTACTTGAAAAGAAAACTGCTCCAAAAACTTTAACCTGGGACACCGACGCTGAGGGTATTACATAAGCTCCCCCAACTTCGTTGAGGTGAGATAAAAAGGAAATAAAAATGTGCACACAACAAATACTGAAATGCAAAAGAAACACAACATCCTAGTTCTGGGGGGAAATTATATACGGGTTATAACTTTGTACTTAAAAAGTTAGGACATCTTCAACTTTGCCGAATCAGTAATTTAGCGGTTGAATGATTTTCATTCCATTATCGGAAGTTGATTTTGAGCCCTTTTAACAGAAAATCAAAAAATGCATGTTTAATAAAACATTTGACAATAATTTGAATTTTCAAGGGTTTGTAGTTATTAATCATAAGTATTGCTCTAATATTCCGGAAAAAAATCCCTCTTTCTTTTCCCGATGTGTTGCCAATATTTCCTCAAAATGACTGAAAGCATGCATTTTCATTCCTCTTGCTGGAAATTCTCAAAATAAAGGTAAAGGAGAGTTGCAAATGCAAATATGCATTACATAATGACTCAACATGCTCATACGTTTCTTAAGCTTGAATGACGGTTCTTTGACCGGAAGTCGAAGGGTTACTACACTATGCCTGGTTAGAGAAAATTCAACCTCAGTATCTGAAAAACAGGCACTTAAAAATGCCTAAGAATATTTCTTTCGCTCAGATCAAGAGATTGATAAACCTAATGCATCACAGAAATCGAGCGGTAGTTGTTGTACATGGCGGACTAGCACGCTGTAATTGAATGGTCAGAAGGGGGGATGTTTTAGGAGTTATGTGCTACTTTCTAAGGTTTAAAGATAACATTCAAAAATGAATACAGTAACGTAAAAGTAAATTTACAAACATCGGATATTTGATTTAAACGTTGAATGGGGCATAACTCTGTCAAAAATTGCTCGATCGTTACCAAAACAGAACTTGACCTAGATATTCTAGATAAATATGTATACCAAATTTCATTTCAATATGTGCAACCTCTGCAAAGAAAATGAACGAAAACTGTTGGTGGACCGACAGACAGACTGACAGAGAGTCAGCAGCAAAGCAATATACCCTCCCTTCTTCGAAGGAGGGCATAATTAATTAATGATTTTAAGTAAAAAGACATGTTTATTTAAGTATGATACCTTTTCTGTTTTGTTCTCACTGTGAGTACCAACCAGGATCACAGGAGCCTTATCACTGCTGTACTGGTGAATGGACTTCATCCAGAATTCAAGGTAATCTGAATAACAAAGAAACATTCAGCTGTAAGAGTTTTCATTAAGATAGATTGCAGTAAATGGTACATTTAGGTAAGGTGTTGATTCCTTCATTTTTAAAAAATCTACTTTTGCAATTCCTTTTCATTTCTTATGCTTCTTTTTTACCAAACAGATATTTAACAAACAGATATTTACAGGACGAGTATGTGAGTAACAAGGATTTATAACTTTTTATCACATTCTTCATACAGGTGATGTAAAAGACCCCACAGAGTCAGACAAATCTGTTTTATATTTGGATAATTGTGAAGCAAAATACAACTTCACCTGCATAAGTGGCATATGGAGTTTATCTCTCCAAGTTGATTCATGTGCAAGATGTTCTTAGTGCGAACATTTTTTAAAACGAATGCGTAATATTAACAAAAAAAAGTTGATGACAAAAGGATATCAATAATCTCATTTCAAGTTAAAATTTTGCAAATTCTATGGTTGATACAATGACTTTGTCAGCAAATACAATCAATTGTTAAGTTCAACATATTCAATGTTGACTGATAATTTCAAAGAATGACCTGGCCATTATTTTCACTCTGAATTGTCTACAGATGTTTTCCTTTACCTGATCATGAGAAGGATCACACGGCACGTGATAGGGAATGCCTACTCCATGGCACCTGATCCCACTCCTGATGTTGTTTTAGTGGTTTGTGTTTCCTCTGCTCCCAATTTGTATCATTTTAATGGACTTTTGAGCTTGGTTACTGTTCGTTATCCCCATATTTCTCTGATTTTAAAATTATTAATCAATTACAATGGAATTCAGTTCAATTCATGTTTGCACTAAAATAAGTCTAATTGAAAAATTGTCATAATTATGTAGTTGATTGGGTGTAAAATTAAGGCAGGAATCGAGAGTTAGCGTGCATAGTTCTTAATGAACACCTTTCTCTCATTTCAGCGTATACTTTGCTTAAATGATTTGGTTATGTCATTTATATATATATTGATAGGACTAAACAAAAGAACATCGTATAAATTATGAGTCAAGGTAGAAGATTAGGATGGATCTATCTATCTATCTATCTATCTATCATCTATCTTTCTATCTATCTATCTATCTATCTATCTATCATCTATCTATCTATCTATCTATCTATCTATCTATCTATCATCTATCATCTATCTATCTATCTACGCATCTGGGTTAAGGACTCTCTCTGACATGCAGTTTCTCTGTACTTGAGGTGCGGATCAAGCTATTATCGTAGTTTGTAAAAATAAAAATAGATACTAAGCAAGCGTAATCGGACCAAAATAGAGACATATTCTGAAATATGTTAATCCACATTATTGTCAAACTAAATTGATAATGTGTAGACTTTATATATAGCCGTAATGAGCACATTTGTACAGTACGTGCTAGAATGACAAATCCAGCCCCTTGAAGATATCAAAAGTTCAACGATATCCACTTTACTATAAATCTGAATTTTTAAACACTTGTAGCTATTATTCCTACAATTCTTAAAAGTGTTGGGAGCTGGTTGTACACTCTTTATTTATTCCGTAATGTTACATTATTCTGATGCATATTACATCTATGTGTACAGTTTATAGAAAGACGGCTAAATTTTACATAATTCCCGATCACGAGGAAGTTGCTCCCAGCACATTTCATGTTAAGGAATTTGTCTCAAAGAAAACAGAATAAATTTTATAGCGGAAAGATACCCGTATATTGTTGAACTTTTACGATCTTTGTAATATTACATATATGTTCTAATATTAAACCTGTCATGTGACAAACAGCTGATGTAAGCGATGTCGCTTTGGCTGAACTCAGTAGAGACACGATTGGTACACGTGCAAACACTACAATCTATCTATCTATCTATCTATCTATCTAGATTAGATTAGATTATATCTATTTATCTATCTATCTGTCTATCTAAAGCTAAGAGACAGAAAGACATACGTACTGAGATGAATGCCATGCAATAACAAGTTGTCTTAAGATGGGATAAAATTGCAATTATACTTGTCATAATTAAATTATTACCTCTGTTTGTCCATCCCCTGTAAATGGAGCCTTCCTGACAACATACTTCTTCTCCAACCGTATCATCAAACTTCTTCTCCATATTGAGCACCAGAATAAAGAATGCCCTTGGACTCAAAAAAATCTGGTGTGAGGCATAATAGGCACACTGTCCCGCAAAGTCAGTCATGGTAATTTTTTTATCTGGATCTTCTGAAATGTTTTTTGCCTCTATCTGCAAATTTCCAGAAATTTCCAAACTATAAGGAATATCTTTGCTTTCCTTTATAACTTCCACTACATTTTCTGTTGGTATGGCCCCTTGTGGTTCATAGGATGAGGTAGTTTTAATGTTGGTATCATCATGTGATATTCCTCCACTGTTTGATGCTTCAAACTTATTGTCCTCATTATCAACTGGTTCCATCTTTTCCTGTGTTTCCCCATCATCAAATGCATTCTCTGAATGATACTCCGGAATACTCTGTTTTAGGTCTTTTTTATCAAGTCTAAGTTTAAAGTGGTGTTGCTGGCTTGAAGAATTAACTGCAAATGGAAATGAATGCCATTTGTTTAACCCCTTCTCTTTTTGTTTTCCCTGTACTTTAAGCAAATGGACATTTATTCGCCTGTAAATAAGTCTGTAGCTAAAAACATGCATAAAATTTTCTTTAATTTGCACAAAAATAGACCTTTTTTTACGATTATCTTTAAATCAAACTATTGAGCATATTTTGCCAATGCAAGGATAGGGGGATAGACATTATCTTTCAGATTCACTTGCCCTTTAAAGTAATCTCAAACTTTGACTTGCCTGAATGCAAAACTTAGTTGTCCAAAATTAAGAAGAAAATAACTTCATTTATTACTATAAATGTTCATAAAATTAGAAAAAGGGTAACTAGATACACTACTTTTAATCTGGCAATTAAGCTACAAGATAATAAAAGTCGATGCTACGTTTGTACATGAATATGTACCACTGTCCTTTAAATATAACCTATTAACACACATTGTCATACAGCAATACTCTCTTCCCTTGTTTTGTTTATAATAAAACTTGTATTTTTAAAAATTATTTTCAGCAGGATACTTTTGTGAATTTTGATTTTCAATAAATAACTGTGAAGCAATGCCAAAGAAAAACAGTTGATACGAAACACACATATCTTGTTCATTATACGTCATGTAATGTATATTCTGTGAGTTAATAAATAATCTAAAAAGAAGGTTACAAAGTTGTTAGAGGTAGTGTGTTATTACCATAGAAACAGAATAATGAACCCAGTTTTTAATTGAACTTAGAAATCTACAAATGCAACTGAGGGATTCGGAATGCAAAAAATGATTGTCAGTCATGTATCTGGCGAAAATCAATCGTTTAATTTACTGCTTTATTTATAAACTTATGTAAACTACATATCAATATACATTTCTTTTAGAAAAATTCACTCGCGTGATCAGACAAGTACGTTGACTATTTCACTTGCGCAAACTGAGAATTTACTTGCCCTGAGCAATAGGACAACCATTAGTGTTGATATATCTTAAGAGGCTGATTATTAAATTAATCAGTTACACTTGGATACAGAAACAGGAGGCCCAAGGCCTTAACGATCACCTGAGTATAATACAACAATTTAGAGGATAAATAAAGTATAAAATAAACTGATAGATGAAACTTTGTTGCCCGAAAGCAAGAGAAATGGGATGATCAAGATCAATGAAATAAATAGTCTAGTATTCAGTTAGTTACAACTCATAAATTATGTTCTAATCTGTGACAGTCCCCATTTATCACAATCAGCATGCAGACTAATATCAAACTATTAGTGCTTCTGTACTATTTTTAACCTAATACAAGAGGCCCATGGGCCACATCGCTCACCTGAGCACTGTAACTAGGGAAAAAAAGCAAAAATCAGTTCAGTATTGAAAAGCTTTAAGGCATAAGTTGTCCTGACCCACCCCTAAAAGGGCAGGGGGATGATTTGAACAAAATTGAATCTACACTAACTGGTTACATGCTTACATATTTCTTTACTAACTGTGACATTTTCCCTTCAAGTTTGAACATTCAATTAGTCCCATCCTACTCCCCAGGGGTCATGATTTGAACAAATCTGAATCTACACTATCTGAGGATGCTTCCATATAAATATGACCAATCCTAGCTTTGCTGTTCTTGAGAAGAAGATTTTTTTTTAAGAATTCCACATGAGTTTCATCTTTCCTATGCATAACTTTAACCATCAATTGTAGCCCCACACTATCCCCAGGGGATCATGATTTTTATCAAGTATGAACCTACACTACCTTAGGATACTTCCGAATAGTTAATAACCAATCATGCTTTGCTGTTCTTGAGAAGATTTTACCTATATATTCCTATGTAAAACTTTGATCGTACATTGTGGCCCCACCATACCCCCAGGGGTCATGTTTTTAACAAACTTGAATCTACACTACTTGAGAATGATTCCACATGAGTTTCATCTTTCCTGGCCCAGTGTTTCTTGAGAAGAAGCTTTTTAAAGATTTTTCCTATATATTCCTATGTAAAACTTTGAACGTCAAGTGTGGCCCCACCCTATCCCTGGGGGTCATATTTTTAACAAACTTGAATCTACAGTACTTGAGGATGATTCCACATGAGTTTCATCTTTCCTGGCCAAGTGGTTCTTGAGAAGAAGATTTTTAAAGATTTTTCAAATATATTCCTATGTAAAACTTTGATCGTCCATTGTGGCCCTGCCCTACCCCTAGGGGTTATGATTTGAACAAATCTGAATCTACACCACCTGGGGATGCTTCCACATAAATATGACCAATCATGGCATTGCTGTTCTTGAGTAAAAGATTTTTAAAACTTTTTCCTATATACTCCTATGTATAACTTTGATTGTCCATTGTGGCCCCACCCTAACCCAGGGGGTCATGATTTGAACAAACTTGAATCTACACCACCTGAGGATGCTTTCACATAAATCTGACAATTGCGGCTTTGCTGTTCTTTAGAAGAAGATTTTTTTAAAGAGATATTCTCTATAATGACAAACTTCTATATAGGAGCTGTGGCACACATAGTCTCAGAATTTTTCAACTCTCTATGATAAAAGTCTTTGATACCGTACACTCAAATCAGGCAAAAATTGGTTGCTACGTGTCATGGTTACCATAGCAACCTGTCCTAAAGTTTAAACATAGGTAATCAAAGATTACGAAGCTCACCTCGACGAATGTTATCTACATGTAAGGCAAATTTCACATCATATTTTTTTTCTAGTTAGGGTACATCCCAAGATCAATATCCACGCAAGTTTGATTTAATTATAGACCTGCTCAAAAAACTTTTGACCTGTTTAGTAATCAAGAAAATTTTGGTCAGTTCCAACATCCAAACCAAGTCTGGAAGTTTTCATCCTTAGATGCACCATCTTTGCAAGTTTAATCATAACAGGCCATAATATTATATAGCTACTCCAAAAAAATTACCCTGGTCACTCATCTGGAAAATGTACGTCAGATTCAGAATCCAAGGCAAGTCTGGAAGTGTCCATTCCTAGATACATCATCCATGCTAATTTGGTTAAAATATGGCTAAAAGACACTCATGTGGAAAATCTAGGTCAGATCCAGCATCCGAAGCAAGTGTGGTAGTGTCCATCCCTGGATGCATCATCCATGCAAGTTTGGTCAAGGTAGGGCTTATAGTTACTTGGGAATGGACCTGCTCCTAAAACTTTAACTGGTCACTCATCTGGAAAATCTAGGTCAGATCCAGCATCCGAAGCAAGTTTGGTAGTGTCCATCCCTAGATGCATCATCCATGCAAGTTTGGTCCAGGTAGGGCTTATAGTTACTTGGGAATGGACCTGCTCCTAAAACTTTAACCTGGTCACTCATCTGGAAAATCTAGGTCAGATCCAGCATCCGAAGCAAGTGTGGTAGTGTCCATCCCTAGATGCATCATCCATGCAAGTTTGGTCCAGGTAGGGCTTATAGTTACTTGGGAATGGACCTGCTCCTAAAACTTTAACCTGGTCACTCATCTGGAAAATCTAGGTCAGATCCAGCATCTGAGGCAAGTGTGGTAGTGTCCATCCCTAGATGCATCATCCATGCAAGTTTGATCAAGGTAGGGCTTATAGTTACTTGGGAATGGACCTGCTCCTAAAACTTTAACCTGGTCACTCATCTGGAAAATCTAGGTCAGATCCAGCATCTGAGGCAAGTGTGGTAGTGTCCATCCCTAGATGCATCATCCATGCAAGTTTGATCAAGGTAGGGCTTATAGTTACTTGGGAATGGACCTGCTCCTAAAACTTTAACCTGGTCACTCATCTGGAAAATCTAGATCAGATCCAGCATCCGAAGCAAGTGTGGTAGTGTCCATCCCTACATGCATCATCCATGCAAGTTTGGTCCAGGTAGGGCTTATAGTTACTTGGGAATGGGACTTGCTCCTAAAACTTTAACCTGGGACGCCGACGCTAACGCCGACGCCGACACCGACGCCGACGGTATAGCATAAGCTCATCTCGACTTCGTCGAGGTGAGCTAAAAACAATTGCATTTTTCAACATGTTCAGAGTTCCATAGTTAACGTTTGCAGCAAAGCAAACAAGTGACAATGACTGTTTCTGAAAGTTGAAAGCCTGATGTTTTAAATGCATGGTAAACATGTTTGGTAAATCAACTATTACATATGTTACTATGGAAACAAAGTATTCAAAAGTATTTTGTTCATTTAATTTTATAAAATCATACATTTAAGAATAAAAACAATTATTGGTTGAAATGCAAGAAATAATAGACATCAGATACATCTACACTTATAAATCAATAAATTTTGCAAATAAACTCCGAAATGGGTGCACCAGAGTTCTTACTAACTACTCTAAGAATACACTAGATACAAGTTGATGTCCATAAACTATATTTAGATTTCACTCGCATAGTTAGTATCGTACATTAAATTAAAAGTCTAACCTCATTTTCTATAACAGCCATGAAATAGCAAAAACATGAGTTCGGTGGCGTTTCGGGTTGGCAGATCTAATTAAAGTTACTGGCAATTTTTAATGACACTGACAACAAGCAATCGTTTGTTTATTTCATAAAACGTCATCACTGAATTATTCAATCAAAACTTGATTTAAATGATATAAAAGAAATAAGTTGTGATACCTGATTCAAAAGGGAAATGAACAAATTATTTTCGTCCTTCACTGATCTTAATATTGATGGAAGCTTCTAGAACGTCATATAGCATCGAGCCCGATGTTTAAAAAAATGAGGCTATTATGCTACAGGAACATAAAAAAAAAGCTTTTGTGTGAATGGTCATTGAAATAATGGTAAATCATTGATAACACTGTAAGTTTTGAATATATTTATATATCGAAAAAAACTTACATATATGTGGTAGGTTTTCCTAATAAATTTATCGGTAAAATCCTCAATGAGAGCATCGTGGCAACGAACCCGAAGTACAATTTGTACTTCGTTATAAACTTGCTAACATGAAAAGAGAAAATTAATGA